ATTGGAATTAGCAGGGCCAAATGAAGGATGAAGTGACCACTTTAGATTCAAGATTGAGTCTTGAGTTGTTAGCTCAGTTAACTAACGATTCAACACCCAATATGTAAAGACCCAATACCTACCTTATCAGTAAGGACTGGAGGTGGGGTAGGTGACCTTGTTTATATGGCTCTTTTCAGACCATTCTCCTTTGACTTCCCTAACACCCTTAGATTTGAGTATCAAGCCATGTGATTATACCTCCTGCTACTTGTATTTGTTGACCTTATCAGCCAACCCCTGCCTGAATCATTTCTTGAATTTCTCAGAGAAATTTTTCCTGGATTACAGTCACTCCCTTACTGTTGCTGTCACCATTCTTGGTAGTTTCAGTATCCATATGGACTGTCCTCGGTCTCTCATGTTCCATGAATCCTTTACCTCCAGCCGTCTTGCCCCTGATTGACACCAGCAGAGGTATTCTGAAGACCTAGTCATTAACAGTTTCTGAGCTCTCTCCATAATATTGATATTAATTTCATGTATCCCAATCTGTCCATTATCTGTCTTTCCAGCTCAGCTTCTTTAGTAACTCAACTCCAGTAATTTTTAAACCCACACAAAACTTTAACATCAGTTACCAATTACATCTTAACAGTTTTCAATTTCCTGAATCTCTCTTTACCCAACTTAGATTTCATGCTTCATCAAAATAACACTTCCTTACGTTTACTGTCTTCAACTTACCTGGCCTTCTTTGCAGTAATTGTACATGGTACAGTTTTTCTGCTTAATTAGTAAGTAATTTCTCTGCTTGAATGCACCTCCACCCATGCAGCTAAATGTGGCTGGAACAAGACCTGTAATGCACTGTGTCTCATTTTAAATCCAGGTTACTATCTGCAAGTGATTTCTCAGACTCTCTCACATCCCACATCAAATCCATTAGTATTTTGTATTTACTTTTTATTCCAAAAATATAGTGAGAATCTGCCCTACTTTTTACCATCTCTACTGATAGAAACTAGAGCCTTGTCCAAACTACCATCTACCCTCTCTTAAATTTTTTTTGCCAAAATTGGAGAGAATTTTATTGCCTTACATAAGTGAAAAACCGGGTAACTATGCTGTCTTTAGGTGTGGTGTGATCCAGGGACTCAAAAAATACATATAATCTCTGTAGCCCATTCTCTCTCAGCTCTGTTTTCTTCCCTGATGTGTTATTTTTTACTTAGAATTTTCTAGTAGCTTCCTCAGTGGCTTCTCTGCTTTGCATGTGATTCTGTAGTTTATTCTCTGCAGAGCAGCCCAAAATAACCTTTTAAAATGTGGCCTGCATACCCTCCATGATCTGATTCCTAGCTTTTTAAACCTCACTTCCCACTGTTTCCCTTTCTTGCTATTCATTTCAGCCACTCTGGTCTCCTGGCTTTTCTTTTCCTGCTATGCATAATCTTCCTTTAGTGTAGTTGCACTTACAGTTCCCTCTGCTTGGAAGGCTTTACCCAGATTTCCTTGCCCTTTAACCTTCTGAAGGTCTTTGACTTACCTGTTTAAAATAGTACTTACCCTCCTGTGCCCTTTATTTTTCTCTGTAAGATCTATTAGCAGTTGCCATACTATGTTATTTTATTTGTTAGTCTCTTGCCTTTATTAAAATGTAAGCTCCTTGTATCCATAGCACCCAGGACAGTGCCTGACCATAATAGGCATGCATACATAACCAAGTGAATGAATGAATGATCAGTACAGTGGCTGCCCTTAGAAATCTTTAAGCCCAGGGGTGCCTAGGTGGCTCAGTTGGCTGAGCATCCAACTTCGGCTTAGGTCCTGATCTCATGGTTTGTAGGTTTGGGCCCTGCGTCAGGCTCTGTGCTGACAGCCCAGAGCCTGGAGCCTGCTTTGGATTCTGTGTCTGCCTCTCTCCCTGCCCCTCCCCTGCTCACACTCTGTGTCTCTCTCCTAAAAAATAAACAGACATTTTAAAAAATGATTCTTAAGCCCATGTTTAAGCAGAGTACTTGTAGTGTGGTTGAGGTGAAAGGAACCACATGTATATATGTTGTTAATGCCTTTGTCCTTCGGTTGCTTAGATGTTGGAAGGATATATGCCAAAATGGGAAGTGAGTGTGTATTACTGTTATTAGGAAATTTTTATTCCATTTTCAAAAACAAAATGTGAGAACTAGAAAGGTGACGTGGTTTACTGAAAGACATAAATGAAATTAAATCATAGCAGTTAGAGTATTATCACATGTTTGATAGATGGGTACTAGATAATAATCTTAAGGATGCCCTTAAAAGTGAGGAAAGGAAAGATTTTTACCAGTGTCTCACTATAACTTTTTCTTCAGGATGTACATTTCTGGATTATATAGAATTAATATTCTGTAGTGTTGCCCACTAAATTCTAACAGAACAGAGGAAAACTTTGTGGTGAAGTTCTGAGGGCCTTTTCTTGATATGTGTCTTTTGTCAGAATCTCAGTTATTTAAAAGAACATTTATGATGGTCTTTCATGTTCCTAAAATAGGGTGGTGGCTTTTTTAGGACCTGGATTGTATGCTTTTCTTTCCTTTTTTTAAAAAAAAATTTTAAGTGTTTATTTATTTTTGAAAGAGAGAGAACACACGAGCAGGGGAGGGACAGAGAGACAAGGAGTCACAGAATTTGAAGCAGGCTCCAGGCTCTGAGCTGTCAGCATAGAGCCCAACATGGGGCTTGAACTCGTTAACTGTGAGATCGTGGCCTGACCTGAAGTTCGATATTTAACCGACTGAGCCACCCAGGTGCCCCTCTTTTTTTTTTTTTTTTTTTTTTAATGTTTATTTATTTTTGAGAGAGAAAGAGTGTGAGCAGGGAAGGGGCAGAAAGAGAGGGAGACACAGAATCTGAAGCAGCCTTCAGGCTCTGAGCTGTCAGCACAGAGCCCAGCATGGGACTTGACCTTGCGAGCCACGAGATCATGATCTGAGCCAAAGTCAGATGTTTAACTGACTGAGTCACTCAGGTGCCCCATGGATTATATGTTTTTTATCTTTGGGTTCTTGCTGCCTCCTACAGTGCTTGGTATATAATAGGGACTCAATAAATATTTGTTGGATAAATGTTGCTGCTGTTTTCACTTGACCAGTGATGGTACTAGTTTTTCACAGTTATCTTTATTAGGAAAAAAACTTGTACTTGGGTAGTAAATTCCCTGATGTTACAGAAAAGTGTATGCGGTAGTTAGGGAGTTGGGGGGCAGATGGAAGGAAGGAAAAAAGAGAAAGAAAAAAACAGAACATTGATAGACTATTCCATTTGAAAAGACAAATGCATACACATATTAAATGACAAACTTCATGTTTGTTTCTTTTTGATTGGATGGTGATTTCATTGGGTAATTTTCTTAGTGACATGATTTGTTCTTACTCATGTTGAATTAGGAAAGCATTTTAGCCTCAATATTATGATAAACTAGATGTATAAATGTCAGTGCTAATAGCTCAGTATTTTAGTCTTCTACAAATTGATGCCTGTGGTATCTGGACATTTTTTGGCTTGTTCTTGTAAATAAGGTCTCAGTGATGTTTAAGGAACAGCACTTGTGGCCAGAAAAGAAAAAAGCTCCACATTATCCAAGCTGAGCAGTATAAATGGGACTCAGAAATCCCCCACTAGATCAGAAATCTCCTAGAGAAAGATCTGTTGAGCCTACAAACTAAGACCTTCAATATAATATTAAATAAAGCCTTTTATGTAGTATGAGAGCATTTTTTAGTTGATAATCAATTGCCACTATTATGTAGGCTTAGTAGATTTGCAAATTTACAAGTTTTTACAAGTCAGTTGGGTCCCTTCCTCAGGAAATCAGTTTAAGTTTTTTTTTCCTATATTGACTCAAAGAGCCTAGTTGTCCTTAAATCCTGTGAATATATTTGCCTTAGAATTTGACAGCATTGAGTCAACACCCTTATAGGGTCTGTAGTGTTATAAAAAGAGAAACTGTTCAATAAAGGATCACATTTGAAAAATAGACTGTGCTGGATAAAACCAGTATTGGCTTTGAGTGCCGTGCTTTGCTTTAAAGTACCTACAACTTTCAAGGAAATACTCGCTTGCCCATTACTTTCAAAATGTACACTTTAGGTTTGGAAAGCAACTGAGCTGTATGTTCGTGAAATCAAACTGTGGCTGTAAATAAAGTAAACATGCAACAAAATATTGCTGTCCTTTGGCACAAAATTAATTTTGTATTTGTGTTAACATTAAAGGGATTATAGAACTATTGTTATCTTTAAAGTAATTAAATTGTTTCAAACTAAATATGCTTGGATAAGCGCATCTGGCTTTCAGTTACAGTGACCCTTGAGCAACATAGGGGTTAGGTGTGCCCATCCCTCCCATAGTTGAAAATCCATGTATAATTTTTGACTTCCCCTAAACGTAACCACTGACAGCCTACTATTGACTGGAAGACTTACTGATAGTGTAAACTGTCAATGAACACATTTTTGTTCACTATATGTATTATACATTGTATTCTTCCAGTAATGTAAGGTAGAGAAAATAATGCTATCAAGAAAATCATAAGGAGGAGAAAATACATTTGCTGTACAGTAAAAATCCATGTATTAAGTTCAAACCCATGACATTCACTGGTCAACTGTAATCATTGTATTTAAACACGTTATGCTGAGATGAGATCTTTTTTTTGCGTCTCATCAGCGTGCCTGAGGCTGTAGATAATAGGCATGAGCGCTTTCCATTTTTTGAGTACTTTCCATGTGCTGGTCATTGTGCAATGTTCATGGATTCATTCTCAAATAACTCTGTAAGAGGTAGGTCTATTTGTTATTCTCAGTTTTTAGATTTATAGACTCAAGCATGAAGTTAAAGAAATTGCTCAAGGTTACACTGCTAGTGTCTAAGCTGGGATGTAATATTGGAAAGTAAAAGCCACAGCCAAACTTGTTAACAGTGTATTGATTGATTCTGATACTGAGTTTTGTTCTGTTTGTTTTTGTTCACTTTTCTAGTTGATTTGGAGCATATGCGAACAGTAAAACCTGATAAACATTTACGGTTTTGCCAGGAAAATGGTTTTAGTAGCCACTTTGTCTCAGCAAAGACAGGAGACTCTGTAAGTAAAATAATGAATACTGCCTATTATAAGTGATCTTTTGTTTATTAATAATATTCATAGGAAGTCTACTTCCCAGAAGTAACTTTTGGAACAAATTAATTCCTAGTGAAGATATAAAATAGCTATAATGTTTAATCGGTCTATATTACATTTGCAATTCATGCAGCATAATTTTATGGTTCTTTTAGGGAATTTGAAAACATGAGAGTTAAGAAGAACATGAGCACTGGGTGTTATGTGGAAACTAATTTGACAATAAACTATTTGTAAAAAAAAAAAAAAAGAAGAACATGTAACTCACGCATTATCTCAGCATCTAGAGAGGACCACTCACAACCTCATATGATTCCTTTTTTTTCTGATGTGCACAAATACACGTTACTGCTGTTGCTGCCAGTGAATTGATCTCACTGAATGCTCGCTTCCTGACTGGCGCTGTGCTTCTCTCCTTCTCTCACTGTCTCTGTGCTGTAGATGCATCCTGGAGAGAGGATGGACTGAGGGGGTGCCACAGCTAAGGAGTGCTGGGGACAAATTTGTAAACCCAGGTGGTGACACTCCAGCATTGTGAACTGTACTAACTGTTTATTTAAAATATTAAGATCATAATATAGAAATAATTTTGTGTTTTACTTTTTTATTTAAACATTTGCTTATATGCAGAAAATTTTGCCATGTCACTTAATATTACTATAGCTTTAATAATCCACACGACCAGCCCTGTCATGGTGTGAGTGCTTTATCATGGCACTGTGTTTTAACATCCAGGATTATTTATTTACTTTTAAATCTTTGTCAGCTTGGTAGGAAAAATAAAAAGGTATTTTGCTATTTTAATTTCTTTGATTGCTATCAAGGTTAAACTTTTTAAAATTTCATTACCTGTTTATTTTCTGATTATCATGGGAACCCTTTCCCCCAAGATAAGTCAATAGTTTGTGTTAAACTTTCAGTATTTTTTGTGTACTGATGTTGAGCCACCATTGAAAAATCCTCATTATTTTCTTCTTTTTTTTTTAAATAGTTTATTGTCAAGTTGTTTTCCATATAACACCCAGTGCTCATCCTCACAAGTGCCCTCCTCCATACCCATCACCCCCTTCCCCTCCTCCCCATACCTATCAGTCCTCAGTTTGTTCTCTTAAGAAAATAATGAGGATTCTCTCATGGTTTGCCATGAGAGAATCCTCATTATTTTCTTAAGATTTTTTAAAAACATTTATTTATTTTTGAGAGGAAGAAATAAGAGTGTGAGCAGGAAAGCAGCAGAGAGAGGACGAGACACAGAATCCAAAGCAGCCTCCAGGCTCTGAGCTGTCAGCGCAGAGACCGATGCAGGGCTTGAACTCATGAACCCATGAGATCATGACCTGAGCTGAAGCCGAACACTCAACCAACTGAGCCACCCAGCCTCCCCTCATTATTTTCTTTTTAAGTGCAACTTTGAAGTGGTTTGTTCTTAGGGAATCACTTTGACACTTGTCCTCTCCATCTAGAGGTCATTCCCCTCATCGCTTGAGGGACTGAGCTCCTAACTTACTGTACTTTCTCTAGGACTACCTTGGTCATAATCCTGGGTTATTTCATGATCTTTGTCTTCTCCTTCATCTCAGCTGCTGGCTCCCGTGCTCTGTCATTACAAGTCACTGCACCTCTTTTGTGATCCCCTGTCTCAGTGTCAGACATCCTAATCACTGACCACACTCTTGTCTTTCCCGCTCATACCCCTGAGTGCCCTAATCCAGTCAGTCTGCAGTCTGGTCAGGACCTGTAGACACTGATCTGAACATATTTTTAATGTCCCTAACCTCCTGTCATGTTCTCATTTTCCTCTTTTCCTAACTTAAACCTCAGGCCCAATCAAAATCATGGCTGTGCATATGTGCTTAATTCCATTTACCCACGTTGTGTTTATCAGACTCACTTGGCTAAGTCTTAACTCTGGTTTATAGCAAGCCCCCACTGTTTTGTGCGGCACCCGGGTATTTGAATAGAGGCATGCTGGAGGTTTCACTCAAAATTCATAATCACTGAAGTGGGCCCCTTAGTGCTGCTCAGTAATTATGCCACTTGTCCCTAGGCCATCGTCTCTTCTACTCACCCAGATGACTGTTTTCATCACTTCTCTTCTCTCCTCAGATCTTCAGCATTTCCTCACCAATTCTCTTAGCTGGTGACCTTTTTTTCCTAGTTTATAAGGAATTTGAAGCCAACAGAAGACAACGGCATACTCTTGCCACATTTACCTCCACTTAACCATGCTCGCTGCTTCTGTTCCCATGTCTTGTCTTCTCTGTGATCACCGTGGGACAAGCCGTCTGTGCTCCTGGCTGGGGCCCAAGCTCCAACGTGTGTCAGTCCCATTTCTCCTGCCTAGTGACCAACGCTGCTCTGCCATTCTCTCTCCTTCCTGCATCATTGCTTGTTTTCTGTCCACTGGATTATTCCATCCACATATCAAATATCATGACTTCTCTTATCTTAAAAACAAGGAACTCTGGATCCCATATCCTTCTCCAGCTCTTTCTTTCTTTCCCCTGGTTTCAGTGGGATGTTTTGAAAGAATAGTTTCCAATTCTCTTTTTGCAGTTTCTCTTGAACAGTTGCGATTGGACTTTTGCCCCCAGTATTTCACGCAAACTACTGTTACTGAGGTCACCAGTGACCTCCTTTTTGCCAAATGCAGTGGTCAGTTCTTAGTCCTCATCTTACTTGACTTTGTTGTGGCTTGTAAAATAGCTGGCCACTCTCTCTTCTTTGAAATACTTTCCTCGTTACCTTCCAGATGCTGCCCCTTATGGTTCTCCTCTTCCCTTGCTAGCTTTTCTCTCTCAGTTCCTTTTGCTGATTCCTTTTCTCTCCAACTTCTGAATATTGGAGTGCCCTAGGGCTTAGTCCTTAGATAGCTTTTTCTAAACTTATTCCTTTCTGCCCTCATTTAGTCTCAGGGCTTTGGCCAGACCTCTTCCCTAAACTCTAGACTCATATATCCAATTGTCTGCTTAGCACCTCCACTTAGATGTCTAATAAGTAGCCCTAATTTAATTCAGCTTCAGAACTGAACTCCTTTTTTTAAAAAAAATTTTTTTAATGTTTATTTATTTTTGAGAGAGAGAGAGTGTGAGCAGGGGAGGGTCGGAGAGAGAGGGAGACACAGAATCTGAAACAGTCTCTAGGCTCTGAGCTGTCAACACAGAGCCCAACGTGGAGATCGAACCCACGAGCCAAGAGATCATGACCTGAGCTGAAGTTGGACACTTAACCGACTGAGCCACCCAGGCACCCCCAGAACTGAACTCTTAATGGTCCCTCCTAAAATCTCTCATTGTCTTCCCCAGTTCAATAAATGGCAGATCTTCTACTAGTTGCTAAGGCCAAGAAAATTTGAGAATCAGTCTTGACTCCTGTCTTTCTTTTATGCCCCACACCCCACATCAGACTATTGCCAAGTCCTGTTGGCTCTACTTTCGTAATACGTGAAGGATCTGGTGACTGTTTTTTACCCTCTTCATGCTACCACTTCGTTTCAAGTTGCCATCATCTCTTACATCAGTGTCCTTATTGGCTTCTCTTTTTGTACCCTTGATCTTCTATAGTGAGAATACTCAATACAACCATCAGATTGACCCCATTAAAACAGAGGTCACATCAGGCCACCTTCTCATGGCTTCCATTTAACTCAGTAAAAGCTGAAGTCTTTACAATACAAATTTTTACAATACAAATTTACAATTTGATTTACAATGCAAATCATAGCCTACCAGATCTTATGATTTATATTGCCTTAATCTCTGCTCATTTTTTCACAATCCCTCTCTTTATCTCCATTCTACCACACCAGCTTGCTTATTTTCCTTGACTGTTGACCATCAGACTATAATGTATAATGCTTTTTAAGATGTAAACAACATATGCCTTTTGAGTCTCTGTATCTCTTTTTTTCATTAGAAATCAAAATTAAATTCATTGCAATAAATATTCAGTAAGTAATCATGAGATAAGTGGGAGTAAGAATATGATAATCCACTTATGAAGCAAAGACAAGTTTGGATTGGGGCCCTAACAATCATAGTGGGCCCAGTATAAGCCACGTATGGATGAAAGGCTGTTTATAGAAAAGTATTATTGTTTTCTATTTAATGATAACAGAGTTTACTGCTCCTTTACTGTGAAGTGATAAAATACAGTAAGCATTACTAAGTTGTTTTGCTCAAGATATATGGAGGATTTATTGAAATCGATGAGAGCCACAAAGATTAGTAAAAGGTTGGAAAGTAAGATCTTTTGAGATAGGCTAAACCCAGACCAAAAAACTGATATAGGATCAGCAGTGAAAAACCTGGCCATTGAAGTGCAGGCTAATTTATTTTCATTTTCTATAGGGCTTCTAGGAGTTTGTTATACTAGTAGTGATTTTTTTTGTTTGTTTTTTTGTTTTTAATGTGGTATCTAGAATTAATTGATGTTAAAATTTTTAAAATGTAAAGTTTTAGGGATAAATGTCTTTATGTTTAGACCAATTTAGTGAATTGCATGATTTTCAAATTATGATTCAATCTTTTAAAAAATTATTACTCTTAAAATGTGTTTTGACAAAGCTATTTTTGGATTAACCTGGTACATCATATTTTTGCAATTCTTGCTGTTTATCATTTTCTAGAAAATTCAATTTATTTGAAGATAACTTAAGCATGCCTGTTTTAAATCATTTAAACCTATTTTTGTTATGTAGGTCTTCCTGTGTTTTCAGAAAGTTGCTGCTGAAATCCTTGGAATCAAGTTAAACAAAGCAGAAATAGAACAGTCACAGGTGATTATATTTGAACTTTGTATATTTAAAAAACAACTTATTTCTTAAAAGATGTTAATTTTCATCACAAACTCCTTTCACATTTATGCATTCTGTGTACATAGTTTTTATTTTTCAAGACATTTATTTTATCACTTATTATGGTCAGGCACAGTGTTAAGATATTTTATGCCATTTAAATTGCTCTGGGACGTATAAAAATAGTTACAGTTGACTCTTGAACAACATGGGAGCGAGGGACACTGATACCCACCCGCCTCCCTCCGCCATAGAGTTGAAAATCCACGTGTAACTTTTGATGTTCCCAAAACTTAACTACTGACAACCTAGCATTGATTGGAAGCCTTACTGATAACATAACCAGTTGATTTTCATATGTTATGTGTATTATATACTGTATTCCTTCAATAAAGTAAGGTAGAGAAAAGAAAATGTTTTTAAGAAAATCATAAGAGGAAATACATTTATAGTACTGTATTTATCAAAAAAAACCCCACATACGCATCTCAAACCTGTATTGTTCCAAGGTCAGCTGTGCTTGGCTGTGGCTTAGGAGGAAATCGCCATGATTTGCTTGATTGCTCAGAACTTGGCAGACTCCAGAGGTCGAGTGATTCCTCTGCTTTTTAGTTTCTCTTTTTTTGTTTTTTAAGTTTATTTTGAGAGAGAGAGAGCATGAGCGAGTGTGTGCACATACATGCACAAGCCGGGAAGGGGCAGAGAGAGAATCCCAAACAGGATCCGCCCTGTCAGCAAGAAGCCTCATATGGGGCTTGATCTCAAGAACCATGAGATCATGACCTGAGCCAAGATCAAAAGTTAGATGCTTAACTGACTGAGCCATCCAGGTGCCCCAGCTTCTCTTTTTAAATGATTTTTGTCTCTAGTTAATTAGAGAGTTCATGAGTGATTATCAAACAATCATAAATGATTTATTGATCCTATATATGTGGTGTAGTGGTGGGTCTAAAGAAGATTTAAAGGAGTTTAGTTTTCTGCCTTAAGTGAAGAAAGTTATCATGTACGAGGCACTGTGTTACCTCATTCAACCTTCTTCTTAACTCTGTGGGGCAGGTGGTATTTAATCATTTTACGAGCAGATACAGAAACTGTTGAGAAATTGAGTAACTTGATCCACTGACCTATGGTTAGGCAGTGGTGGTGGCATGATTTGAACCCAGGGACGTTTGAGAATGACACTGCTCTATGGTGGGGAGGATTTGCCAGGGAGTTTGAAGTGGGAGGGAGAAAATAGCTGAAAGAGAAGCTGGTATTAACAAGCTGAAAAGCTTAGGTATATTTAGGAAGCAGAAGAGTAGTTTGGTTAAAATAAATGACCATTGCATTGTAGAGTGAAAGAGTTTTGAAAAAAGATTGTGGAGATTTATGAATGACAAGCTGATAAATTTTATTTAACATGTGGATAGTGGGACACCATTTTTTAAAGCAGGGAAATAAAATGGAAGCAGTTTTTAGGCAGGGTTAATCAAATGGCTGTATGCACACATGTGCATGTGAGAATGTGTATGGTTGGTAGGGAAAGAGATTGAAGCAAGGAGACTATATCCTGCCTTTATGTGATAATGACCAGAGTCAGGGAGGAAGGGAAATACTGGATGTAAGAGAGCAGAATCAACAGGGCTTATGGAATAACTGGATAAAGGAGAGAAGTCCAAGATTACTTTGAAATTTCTCTCCTAAAGGAATGGACAAAGGGGAGCCCTGGTGATTGGTGGGCCCTCCCTAGAACAAAAGGTGTGCTGACGCATTACACGCAGCCACTGTGGCAGAGTTCTCTGTACTGCCTGATCTTCACAACAGTGCTTAATTTCAAGAACAACTTGGACTAACTTGGATACTTTTGAAGGGAAAATATTAGGGAGGTTTTATTAAGGTTCTTAGCTTACTCTTAGTCACCAGAGCCAGAAAGCTACTATTTTGACTTTAAAGATGGACTTAACATCTAGGCATATTTTTAAAAAAAAATTTAAATATTTATTTTTGAGGTGGGGGGAGACAGAGCGCTCCCGCGTGCGAACCTGAGTGGGGGAGGGGCAGAGAGAGAGAGAGAGAGGGAGATACAGAATCGGAAGTAGGCTCCAGGCCCTGAGCTGTCAGCACAGAACTCGATGTTGGGCTTGAACCCGTTAACCATGAGATATGACCTGACCCGAAGTTGGATACTTAACAGACTGAGCCACCCAGGTGCTCCCTTTTTTAAAAGTGTTTTTTAAATGTTTATTTATTTTTGAGAGACCGAGCACGAGTGGGTTAGGGGCAGAGACTGAGGGGAACACAGAATCCGTAGCAGTCTAGGCATATTTTAACTAAAGAGGACCCAGATGTGTAAACTACATAGCTCTCTACACTTTCTGTACACCTTACCTTTTTTTTAGTGCACCCTGTCATCTTGTTTATTGTGCAATGACATTTAATTTAATCTTCAGTTTGTTGGTGGTGTTTACTTTGAATTTATTCCTTTGAAAATGAACTCAAGCCACTAGAGCCTTCCTTTGTTATGTTTGTCAGAATCCTTTGTGTAGGGAAGCCTCATTTTTCTTTCCTGAATCTCATGAATTTGGTGCCTTTGCCAATTAAATTAATGATTTCACGATGAATGTTTCTCACTGGAAACATTTTTGAAAGTTCATTTTTTAAAAAGAGATTCTAAGAATCTACTTGCAAGCCAGCAAGCTGTGTTGAGCACAGTTATTTCTTTTTTTGCAGTTGAAATCTATTTGATATATTACATTGGATAAACTTAAGGTGTATGACACATTAATTTGATACACTTATATATTGCAATATGATTGTACTTGTAGCGATAATTAGCACCTTTGTTACCTTATATCATTATCTTTTATTTTTTGGTAGTTGGCATAATCAAGTTCTAGAGTCTTAACAGATTTCATGATTAGAATACAATACTATTGTCTGTTCTCATGGTACTCTGCGTTTCCTCTCTAGAGCTTATTTACTACTTGTTGTAAGCTTGTACCCTTAAACAACATATTCTCGGTTCCCCCCATCCCCTATCCTGGCAACTACCATTTTATTCTCTGATTTTTTAAAATTTCACACATAAGTGATACCACACAGTGCTTGTCTTTCAACATCTCTCATTTAGCCCAGTGGGCTCAAGGGATATCCATGTTGTTCCAAATGACAGAATGTCTTCCTTTTTTGTGGCTTAATGACACTCCATTGTATATATCTATATGCACTACATTTTCTTATCCATTCATCTATTGATAGGCAATGGGTTGTTTGAATATTTTGGCCTGTTGTAAATAATGTTGCAATGAACATGGGGGTGCATATACCTTTTCAAATTAGCATTTTTCTTTGGCTAAATACCCAGAAGTGGGATTATTAACTCATATATATGGTCATTCTGTTTTTAATTTTGGGGGGAACCACCATACTGTCTTTCCAATTTACATTCCCACCAAGAGTACAGAAGGGTTCCTGTTTCTCCAACATTTCTCTCTTTCTTCTTGATGATGGCCATTCTAACTGGTGAGAGAGAGAGCGAGCGAGAGGGGGGTGGGGTTAGGGAGGTAAGGCAATGAGGGAGAGCCCATGCACACTTGTTTCCTGTGTTTTATATGCCATTTGAAAGATTCTTGAGGGGATTTAGTACAGATAGTGTTTTGTATTATTTTATGGAGAAGGAGCTGAATGGTAGGCTCACCAAATACCATGGAAATTGATACTATAGTAGTTCTGTTTGTGACATATATAATATGTATTTATAATCAGATTAGAGTCTTAATTCCATTCAGTGATTATTTAAAGAGATTTGGCTATTTTAGTTCTAACCTACATTGTTCCTCTCAGGGAGTTCTTTAAAATGAGTTACCATCACATTTTGCAAGGTTTGCAAGGAAGGGAAAGGGGGAAAGGGAGGAAAGAAAGGGCACACAGCTCATTAATACAGCGTTTGATGTCCTCCTTCATGCCAGGGACCACAGCAGAGTCTGGGGGTACAGACAGGAATACGTTAAAGTCCTGTCCACAAGGAGCTCCCAGAATAAGCAGGGGCAGATGGCTATTCAGATACTTATATTCACTCTGGATACCTTGTCCGCAATCCCTGGTTTAATACTGTATACATCCTGTATCTGTTTTCTCCCCCGCCCCGCATCTATTCTCCTCTAACATATAAAAGTTGGGACTAGTTGTTAACACGTATCCTCACTTCCCATATTGTTTAAGTTTTTGGTTTGTTTACAAAGTAGTCAGACCTTTAGGAGAAAGAATGAATTTCCAATTGCTGTTCTCTAAAAAGTACAGCGTTCAGTTTTTCGGTAATGCATCAGATCACCTAAGAAGAAAATGCATCATCCTGTGTCTTCCCACTTTCAGTCTGAATTGCAAGGAGGTCTCGCCATATATACTTGGTGTTAAGAGTTCTTAATACATTTTTAAGCCTTGACATTTTCACTTGCCAGTTAATAAGCTGTTATATTTGTTTTTGTTTTTGTTTTTACAAATAGTTTATTGTCAAATTAGTTTCCACATAACACCCAGTGCTCATCCCCACAAGTGTCCTTCTCCATGCCCATCCCCCCTCCCCCCCACATCCATCAGTCCTCAGTTTTTGTCAGCATTCAAGAGTCTCATGGTTTGCCTCTCTCCCTTTCCCCCACCATTTCCCCCCTTCTTCTCCCCCTCGTTCCTCAGTTAAGTTCCTCCTAATTCTCCTATACGTGCAAACATATAAGCTGTTATATTTGGTTTGAACTTGGTAAGCATCAGTTTCTTTAAAACAAAAATTTCTCTCATGTCTGAGATACTGAACTTGCTAAAAAAAATGTATATTCCTTATGTCCCCTCTGAGTATTTTCATACTATATATGAACTTATCTAGCATAGGGCCTGGTGGGTGGTAGGCATGCTCAAGACTTTAGTTAAGTCAGCCCATTACCGTACAACTCAAGCACTATTTGACCCCTGATCTTAGGGTCCCTCTCTTCAGCTTTATCTGAATACTGACCTTCCTTAAAGAGCATGAGGAACTAAGATTCTTAACCTACGCATTAATCTTTATCATTTTTTTCAACCTGTTTACAGAAACTGCACTGGGATTCCTTTCTCGCCCTAAATACCCTTGTCTTCCTTGTGGAACATATTTACTCACTTTTACACACTTTTACACACTGCTCTGATTCTCGGGTACTGAACATCGCTTAATGTATTTCCAGATCCTATCCCATATTGTTCTTTCTCTCCTCACCTTTCGGAGTTACGTTCTCATATGATTTCCAGATCTAAAGGTGGGACTGGAGAGACCATGCATGTGAACCTTGTGTTTTATAGATTTAGGAGGTTGTGAACACCAAAGTGGTAAAGTAACTTGCACCCAAAGTTATAAAAGTTACCGGCAGCATTTGATGGCACATTGTATGGAAGAAAAAGAAAAGTAGTTTCTTTTAAGTTCCTCAGTGTGCAAAGCACTGTGCTTTTAAAAATGCAGTATCTACACTTTAAATGGTAATCTCTAATTTGGTTGCACTTTGAAATTATATCCATCATGATATTCTTTTAATAGTTTACATACCTGTATTCCATGCTAGATTCTTATGTACCTCAAAAACAGAGATTATGTGTTATTTATCTGAATGTCTTCAGTATCTAGAATGGTGATTGGCTTTGAATGAGTGATAGTGACAAGTGGTTTAGCCTTCAAGGCATGTTTACTCCACATCCTGCACAGGACAGACTACGTCTTGTACAATAGTAAATGTGTTGCTGCTGTCTGGATTAAGACACAATTACAGAATTGGCCAAATTGATGGTTAGTGTCTTCCCAAGAGCCTGTCTATACTCCGTATACTGTATTGCCCCAGCTCCTAGGTGGCTTTCTTGCTTGCCCTCTGCATAGACGCCACTTGGTTTCCGGTATCCACTCATAAATAGTCTTCAACAAATAAGGGTTAAGCTGGTGTTCTTCTTACCCCTTAGGGCCCCTTCTTTATTTTGAATTCATTGACTAATAGTAGAGAATAATAGCAGAGTGTACTTTGTGGCTCCACAAGTAGAGGCTGGTGTTTTGTAGGTAACATTTTCTCTGAAAACATCAATGAGTGACTTGTAAACAAGCTGACTACTGTGAAATCACCTACCATGAAGTTTATGCCATGGAAATTATGTTTTTATCCTCATAGAAAGCAAAGCTTTGAATCTGCAGAACCTTGGTCTGACTTTCAGTTCAGAAACTTTTTACAAGGCTTTTATGTCAGACAGCCAAGGAATCCGAGAAAGATATTGCCTTGTTAGTTCTTCATTACTTTGATGAAAATTAATGGTGAAAATCCAGATCATTTGTGTTAGTCAATGCTTCAACCAAAATGTTTTGGCCACAGGTCAGTAACCTGGTTGTGTTTATAGGATAGGGTTTAAACCAACATTGCAGAGGATTAATGAGTTGCTTACTGATTATAAAAATCCCTTTTCTTTATTGTAACCCATGGTTTGGCATGAAACAGTTAGGTTTGAGGAGGTCAGATAATGGTGTTCCACGTTAATACCTCATGTGGCAGTTGGTAATGCTTCTGTTGATAGCATCAGGCTGAATGCCTAGTAAATCATGAGTGTCGTCCAGCAGTGAGTGCTGCTTGCGGAGAACTGGAGTGGAGCCCGGCCAAGGCTCATACACCAGTGCATCCTCTTCGTTTACTTTCAGTTGTCTGACCAGTCTCTGTGAATGTTTTCACAAACAGCTGCCCAGATTAACAGGCCTCTCGGTGTGTATTGATAGATCCTATTATGAAGAGAGGTTTTCTGAAATCAGATATTTGAAATCATAAAAAGTGAGGATAATTTCAAGTCTAAAAAACTTGAGGGGAGCATATTATCTTTATCAGACCTGCTTGTCATACATGCTTTTCTCATACTCAGGGTCCTAGTATCAAAACCTAACAAACTCGTTCTTTTTTATTTAAGCAAACTCTTAGATATTTGAAACAACAGCTCTTATGCTTAAATATTGTATGTCAGGACTTTTTTTTTCTTAATGATAGAAAAGTATGTTTTGAACTTGTTTCTTTGTATATGGAATTTGGAAGCATGAAGATCAGGGTTGTATGGGATGAGGGAATGAACATCAAAACGAAGTCTTTGATAAGTAATAGACACTATTAAATATAAAGGTTGTAAGTGACACATGGCTTCCTCGGATTTATGCATCCTCTGCCCACCTTCAAAGAAAATTACTCCTTCCCCTGAATTCCCACAGCGTACTGTAAGTTCCCTAGTAGAGCACATATCTAGTATGGCAATTAGCTGTGTCCGTGTTTCTCCTATTCAGTCCAGAGCACCTTGTGAACAGGGCATTCCCAGTGCAGGTGACCGGCACATAGAGAGAGCCTCAGTAACGTTGAAGGAGATGGAATTAAGTACTTTCACTGCACTTAAAGGTAGAAAAGTCCTGTAATTCTTTGTTGTCCTTTGAAATTCTGAGCTCTACATATATTATGTCTAATTGTGATACCAAAAATAGAACTCATAACTTGTTGGGGAGGTTCAGTAGCCATGTCTATTTCAGTAACTAAGTAGCATTGCAAAGAATAATGTTTCATGGATCTTTGTTCATTTTCTTTCCTTTTATATGCATATATTCTGCTGTTTCTTTTGTGATATATTTAAAGTTATGTGTGTATTTCCTTTTCTCCTTTGATGCTCCCTTCTATTATTGTCATTGAACATACTTTCCTTTTTTTTTTCTTTCTTTCTTTCTTTTTTCTTTCTCCTTCATCTTGTTTATGTCATACGGAATTGACAGCATATTGTCAGGGCAGAAATAGTGAAGTATCCGGAAGAAGATAATCAACGTACCAACTCTGCTCAGAGTAGAATCTGTTCAGTACAGTAGTGCAGGTATTAATGGGTAAATGATTGCAATTTGGGGGAGGAGGGCGGGAGAACTAGTGGATGCTGTCTTGTTCTTTATTCTGAAGGTCAAATGATTATTGTACATTATTGGGAATTAATATTGTGTAAGTCCTCTTTTAGAACTTTGAAAAATTGATTCTTTGCCAGGAGACTGACAAACTAAACAAGGAATTGGAACAAATTAAAATAACATTTCAGTTTCTTTCAAACATATTTGTCTTTATAGTTGTGTTTATTGCATGTGCAGTGAAGTGGAGAATTGAGACAGTTATTTCATTATTCATTCCTTCCCATTTTTCCTGAAATAGCATGGTAATCAAAAGAGTATTTTTAAAATTTGCCTTGAATTACCTTTCTTTGTCTGCCTGTGTGTGCAGACTTAGTAACAGAGTCGAAAACAGTGAAGGAGCTGTCTTAATTTAAATTACTACTTAGGGCATAATTGCTAAATTCATCATTGAAGATATTCCTTGAAGTGTGGGTTAGAGGGATGGAAAGAAGAGTTAAAAGTGTCTTTTGGTTTAAATTACTTTAAAAACTCGAATATGAGGTAATCTTCCAAATTTTTCTTTCTGTATTTTGTTAGAATCATTATTCATAACCTAATAGCGAGCTCTTTGGAAGTAAGTTAGGGATTTGGGAGGAAAGTTTTAAAAATTGGGTTGTTCAAAACATTTCTCCTTTACATGTGACTCCTGTTTAACATCTACACATTTTCTTACTAACTCACAAATTGCTGTAAACATTCTAAACAAGTTACTACTGGGAATAATGGTCTATTTAAATATTAATAAGTAATGACTTTTCACTTCGACATTATGAGCTCTTACCTATGAATTAAAATATGCTGAATGATTAACTTTAATTCCTTTGCCTTAAATTATAACCAGGGTTTAATTTTTCATATTGGTTTGTCAATTTTTATTAGACTTTTGATGACCTCAATTTCATAAAACCAGGGAAGACTCAGTGAGGGAATTAATATTCCATCCTTAAAAATCAAAAACAAAACAAAACAAAACAAAAAACCCCAAATCCCTCTCTCCCCAGCATCTCAGCTCTACATGAGTTTGTTCTCTGATTCTTTTAATATCCGCTCCGGCTTCAATTATGACGTCTGTCGTCAGGAGTTCACCAGAGTTCAGAAAATAAAAATATACTTTAAGGAGCTCTTTCTAAATGTTCTGATGTCCTGATAATAACTCTGTTTTCTTTTGTGACAGCGAGTGGTGAAGGCAGATATTGTAAACTACAGCCAGGAGCCCATGTCGAGAACAGCTAACCCTCCTAGGAGCTCTATGTGTGCAGTTCAGTGAGCGCAGCTGGCTTGGACGCCCATGGGCCCTGCCGCCCCCTCCTCTGTGTGGGCCCGGTGCCTCTGGGGGCTTGTGTCACCCACGGCCATCCCTGCTGTCCTGTGAGCACTTTCCTCCCAGCTCCCTCAGCCAGCTGCAGGCCGTTCCCTGGCCTGGAGGGAGCTCCACTCCTGGACACACACTCGGAATCCGAAATGAAAGCCCCTCTCTGGAATCAGACTGCTCCACTGAAAAAGAGTAATGTCGGCTCTCTTTGCGTTCTCCCTTCTTTGTCACCTGATGTAAACTTTTGTAGACAAACCTGAAAGCCACACAAGTCTGGATCAGCAGCCAGGATTTGGCCACAGCGAGGTGTCATTCTCTTATCGGAACTCCTACCTGGCAAAGTAGCGTCGGAGTGCAGACATTTAAACAAGTAACATATTTTATCTACAGATACTTCAGAAGGCATTCTTTTGCTATCTCTTGTGAGTGAAAATATCTAAAGTTGTATCTATCTGAAAATGCTTGAAATAAAGCTGTAATAGATATATATTTTCCATTTTTTAAAAAAGGGCCTAAATTGTTTATATAGTAGCTATAGCTCACAAAGTAGTGAGTATTTGATATTGTATTTTTATTACTGTATCATGGTCATGGTGTATTGTGTACCACGCAGGTTAGCTGGCTCTATGAATTTGGAGAACTGCCCCACTGTGCCGCACGCAACGTGGCCTGGCAGACTGTGCAAGAGCCCTCCCAGAACCAGTCACGACTGTTGTTGGATCGTTGTGGGGTTCAGACGTTCTTCTGCAAATAAACTTATTTCAGTTACTTTTTGTGGGGTATTTTCTTTCAGCCGTTTTCCTTTTAGTGACAGTGAACAGGGTGTTCAGATACAGGATGAGCGATCATGTCACATTTCGTAAGCATTCTGTCACTTCGAATTGTTAGGTTGTCCTGTTGGACGATTCAAGTCCAGACCCTGCAGCCTGGCACGTCAGGGTCCCCGCCTCACCTGTCCGCCTTTCTGCCTTCCCTGGCCTGTGCCCCGGCTGAGCGTGGGCTCACTCCTGTGTGTTTCCGGAGGCCCTGGCCTCCTCTCTTGAGGCCCAGCTCCCTCTGCCTGGCCTCCCTCCAGCTCCAGATGTGTGCCTCCTGCCAGCCAGCCTCAGGCACAGCGAGGGCATGGCTCTGGTTCTCTCGGCCCCAGTTGTTCTGGCTGCAAATGTTTGTGTTTTTTGAAAGTTTAAATGTTTTTCGTACTGAGGCACAGCACTGGCATAGTGGGTGCTTCCTGTCCACCACACAGAAATGGGCACGGATACTGCCCTGCCACAGAGCTGGCCCTCGTCTACACAGCACACATTCTGCATGAGCACCTCTTGGATGGCCATTACCCCTTCCCGCCTTGAGTCACAGTCATTTGTGTCCTTGCGGCTTACTATTCACTAAGCCATGAGCCTATGGAAGGGCAGTCCAGGTCTGTTCTGTTTCTCGCCTCCCGGGAGCACCTCACGGGGTGTGTTTCTCGGGGGAGACTTCCCACAAGTACGCGCAGAAGTCTGGGATGCCTATTTTACAGCTCTAAGGGGTCCTAGAAAACTTGTGGCTAAGGGAACTGAAGTTTGGAGAGGAAAAAATGGAACTTGCCAGAGGTCACGGAGTCCAAGCTAGACCCGATAGGAAATCTGCCTCAAGGCCAGGGTGACCCTTTTTCAAGAGTGATTTGAAGTTGAAGAAATTTAAAAAATCGTGACTTCTGTAGTCCTCAGGCAGCAAGGTCCAAGCTTTTATAACTTTATTTATTTTTCATTTTCTAGCAATTAAGCCCCCTTTTCAGCCTTGCAAGGCAATAAGCCCTTCCTTCAGGGTTTTTCATTTTATCCTCCCCTTCAGCATCTCCTACCATGCTGGCCAGGCTTCGACAGAGACTGTGTTCTCCCTATACTCCTCAGGAGAATAGAAGTTTGAATAAAAGAGTGCTGAACTCTCAAGGATCTTACCATCTAATAGGAGAAATGTTTGTTGTCGCTGCTGTTGTAAAAGCTGCGAAAATCTATTAAACTAAACTTGCCTAAGATAGTAGGTTCAGTAAGAGACGAAGCCATGCTCCTGGGGTCCTTCTGTGTTGTTTTTACACCTGTGTGAAAACTGGAAGGTTTTCACAGTTCTTTTCATAATCCAATTACTGCAGCACTAAAAGGTATGACTTGAAAAATACATATGATTGTCCAAGCTGAGTGCACCGGCATTCTAGCAGAGACAGAAGTTACAGAAGGTCTGTGGTCACCCCAAAGCACTTCAGTTGTGTGTTTATAAAGTTAAAGCACTGGATGGGACTGGGCAGGGGCGGGAGAGAGAATGGTTTGTGTAGGGTTGCTTTGTCCTGGACATTTTCAGTCACTTGTCACATGAACTCTTTTTTTTCCTCTCACATCAGTCTACGACCTGTGTCATGGCCCTCATTTTGCACATGAGGATCCCAAAGCTTGAGAGGGAGTGATTACACCAACTCCCTCCTCTAGCAAGTGGTAGAGCCAGGATCCGCACAACCCATTTCTGAGACAGGACAGATGAGGCTGGGTACCGATTTCGTCTGCCTTCCATTTGTGCAGATCACACAGCTGACCTCCTTCCTGGGAGCTGGCCACACCTGAATGTCTCGAGAAGTAGTAATGTCCACTGCTGGTCCCTCCACCTCTCACACCGACCACCTAGACCACCAGTGTCGTCTAAAGAGGCTGGCGGTGGTTAGGTTTGCCCTCTGATCACCGAGGTGAGGACAGAAAGTGCACCCCCCACCCCACTTTGCGCCTTTGGCCCCATTGGCTTTCTGTCTTTCCCAGCTAAGCTTGACCCGTCATCGAGAGCCTGTTGGCCCAAGGAAGGCAGGCACAGCAAGCTTGCAGTGTAGCATATGGCCAGAGCAGATTTCTGAATTCCATATTACAATTTTCCCCATACCTCGGGTTTTATTTTTGAAAGAAAAACGTAGGATTCATGCTTATTTTACTTTGACTGTTACCTCTCGTGTCTACAGTTTTTAATTTAAAAAATTACAAGTCTTTCCATCTAGTTTTAGGCACTTCGTCTCCTGAAGACACATGCTATAAAGTTTCAAACGCATTGTGGTCACTTCTGCTGCTTATTGAACTTTCAAAAAACACAAAAGTTTTCAGCCAGAACTGGTCATTGGATGCTGCCTTTCAAGTGCCCCCTCTGTTATGTGTGGCAAACCGCTCTGGAGTGGTTTTTGGAGTGGCCCAAAGAACTCCTGTGACTGCTTTATTATTCCAGGAGGAGGTAAGCCAGGGCCCTTTAAAGTCGATCGCTGAAACAATGTGATGGAGCATAATAATTTGTGTGTCAGATTTAAAAATAGGAAAGTTTTCTGGCCACCCCCCAGGCTAGCGATTGCTGTATTGTTGGCCATCCTGGAAAACCGTTGCAAGACTTAAAGGTCACGGAAATGCAGACCCACCGAGCACTGTAGTAGACATCTGTTCACTGCCTCCCCAGCATCCACGCCACCACACCTCTCACAGTATTCCCTGGTTGCCTGGTGGAGCCCTCCTCCATTTTCAGCCACTTGCAGCTCTAGGAGTAGATCCGAACTGGCTTGAACCCATCAGGATATTAATTTCTCCTGGCCTCAGGAATTGATTGGCTCCGTTACGAGTGAATAACTCCATGAAAGCTAATGAAACTGGAGGGGATATTTGCTGAGGTTTCAAAAAAAGAAAAGAGAAGAGAAAATCTCCCCTCCCCCCCCCGCTGAAGTTTCCAGATTACTCTTTGCCCACTGGACTTGAATGAGCAAGGCTATGGCTCTGAGCAGCAATGGCAGCCATCTTGAGAACACAGAGGGAGGGGCTGTCCAGGTACTGAGCTAATGCCAGGGGGAGCAGAGGTGACAAGTGGGAGGGTCCCCCTGAAAGCGAGCCCCAGATCCAGCCATGCCACAAACTGTTTTTTAACAGTGTGACTCAATATCCTTTCTCATTTCAGCTAGTGTTGGTTTATTCTTAATTCTTACATAAGCACCTGTTATGTACTGGGGCCTTTGCTTGGCACCAAAGACGGGTGAACGTGATCTGTGTTTTGTCCTCAAGATCTTAGTCCAGGCACATGTATGGCTCATCAAAATGTAATCAGACTGTTAAATGCTTCAGTAAAACTAATATAGGAAGATGTGGCTTAGCAGTGTGTGTGGTAAAATAATAAGGATTTCAAATAACAGGAATCAGAGTCAACTGTGGGACATAATTACCTTCAAAAGCTAATGAAATCTTAAGGCTACATTAATGCCAAGACAGTCCGTTCTCTCTTGGCATTAACAAAATGGTTGTTAACCACTTCTAACCCATGTAGAATCATTGTGCCAGTTGGAAAAACAAAATGTTCCCTTCTGAAGTCACTTTGTTTCCCTTTTAAAGAAAGTTGCCACAATATTTTGTTAGAACAAGGCATTTTACTGTCCTGGGAAATGGGTGATAAGTCTACCTGGGATATGAATGGCAGCCCATGGGTGGGGGTGAATTCAGCCCTTTGGTGGCCAGATTTGCACCCTTGTGACTGTAAACCTTAGTGTCTGGATGGAAAACTGGTGGAATTAGGAGAGACAATTATTTGTCAAACATGTACTTGGAAAGCAAAATCCTAGTGTTCATACTGGGCCCTAGGGACATGCGATGCCCAGGGAGGCATTCTCTGCCCTCCAGTTACCAGGCCGTCATGGCATCCTGGGTGTCACGAGCTGTACACAGGTAAAGAGTGTGAGGGGCATTCAGTAAGTCACCATGATATGACGGCTTCAGGGAGCCATCGGGACAGATCTGATAGGGGAGGTGAGGCTTGGACCGACAGCCTGGCCTGGGACACCTCCCTCCTAACACCGTTAGCCCCAGCAAGTGACCCTTTCTGTAGAGGGGGGCCTTTGGGCCGAGCTCAGAACCGTATACATTCCATTCTGTCTGGTCCTTCATTGTATCAGTTTTCCACCTCGGACAGCCAGAAACAGGAAGAAAGGTAGACTATTTGTTTTCAAGCACTGCTTCCAAGTTGTATTGAATGCTCCGGGGCCTCCCACACTGTAGGCTGAAGTGAGGCTCAAGGATGGAGGTTGGGCTGGAGGAGCAGATAGCACTGGCACCATGCACAGGCCAGCTCAGTGAGCCACTGTCACCTAATCCTGGTGACCTGGCCACTTCGGTCCTTAACTAACCTGAATCCACAGGTGGCAGGTAGGTAGGATTCCTAGCCACCACATCTCATCCCTTGATGCCTGGATCACTCAACCAGCCTGCTTCTGCAGAGACCGCCACAATCTGCTGCACACAGCTTTGAGAATGAACTTGACCCATGGGTTTGAATTAAGTTACTCTTGTTCCAAACTCCTCTGTGGCTCCCATGGCCTTTTCCATGAAAAGACAATGGCCTCCTCAGCCTGACATTCAGAACCTCTGACTGCGCCCCCCCGCCCCCATTCTTCTGTGACATCCGTTTGTCTTCAACTCTGATGATGCCTTCATTCTAGCAAGTGGCCCCTCTCCTCTGGGTCTCCACTGCGATCTTCTCTGTGTGTGGAAAGAGAGACCCTGAAGGGGCAGGTTAGAAAACCTGCTTCTTCTGCTGGCTTAACAAACAATGGGTTTGAACCACTTGACGTCTGTGGCTCAGTTTCCTGGGACCCATTTGTGAAGCACAGTTATATTATGTTTGCTCTTTATCATCACCGTGGCTCATTATGGGTGCAGTGCAGGTATCCTGAGCTCTTTGGAAACATCTCCATGGTGTATATGGTAATCAGCCTTCAGGACGGCCCTCCTGGT